CAAGCTTGAAATGAATATTTGCTCAGGGTTCAACCCCTGAAGACCATTCAGTTCAATGTAGATCAGACTTGCAAGAGATCTAGTGAAGACTAATCAGCTGAACACTCTGAAATACCCAGTTTTTCAAAAGTGATGGAAAAAGCTAGAAGAAAACCATAGGATTCCTTCAAAGTTATGTTTATAGTAGTTCATAGTAATCCATAGTAATCCATAGTAATTTGCAATTTGCCGAACAACTGGCAGGTTAGCTGCTTGGAAGTTAACTTCTAAGCAGCCTAGGCAAAGGCTCTTCCTATATCAAAGATACACAGGCACACAGGAAGTGCATTCTGCTGATAGTCAGGCAGCTGTTAACAGAACCATTACATTTTCAAAAGGAAAATGAAGCCTTCCTGGTGCTTAATTTCCTTTTCCATGCTGTGCTGCAAAATCTGTTGGCCTTCTATCATTCCTTTCCTAATATTAGGATTTCTTTGTCAGCTAAACTCTTCTGACTGGTCTGGCTCTTCTATTTTCAGCTTAACTGTTCTACCCATGAGCTCTTCTCTTTTCTATCCAATTTGATGTCCCATCCTTTCTGACTTAACGCTGACTAAGGCAGGCACGTAAACCTTCCTGAAACATTACAGAATGAGATGTATACTCAGTGGGAAGTGGATAATTTCAAGACATGGCAGCATGGTCTGAAAATATCTCTCTTCCAGTTGTATCAGTTACAGGTTTGGAATCATGAGGACAATGGTCTGACAGCTTCAAAGTATGTAGACTCAGATTTCATAAACTCTTTGCACATGGGGCTGCCTTTCTGACTGATCTGTAAATAATAGAAGATAAAGCTTGAGCTCTCTTGCCAACACTAAACTGTGGCTAGTAACAATTCTTGGAGAGACCCACGCTGAGCCCCTGTGATTCTGGGATTTACATAAACATTTAGATGCAAAAAGACAGAAGAAACTGTCTGATTCAAATTACAAGTAACATAATCTGATTTCTTCTGCCAGGAAAGCCATGGTACAGGGGAGCCCTAGCCATAGTGCAGATGCCCTTAGAGTGTGTTAAAGAAGAAGGTTTGGATCTATTCTTTACAAAGACCCTCAGTCCCGTACAGCCGTCGTCCTGACAAGAAACCAACAAACAAACAACAAAAAAACCCCAAAACCACCGCTTTGCCCAGGCTAAAAAAGGGAAATTTGAAAATAATGTGAAGAGAAAGTTCCAAATAACTTAGAGGAAGAAAGGAAAGGATGTTTGTCCCTTCTGCACATGCACTTGGGCAAGGCTGTTTTTGAAGGCAGAGGTGGTGCAGGTGGAGTATGGAACTGTAGGTCTTTCTTCCCTCTCACAGAATTTATGTACTGATGCACTACAGAACTCAGAGGGCAACAAAGGCTCCACTGCAGCAGACAAAGCTGAAAATGCTGCTGATCTTGGGTGGGGCTTTTTGATTATTTTTAACAGCTTTTTTTGTTGTTATTCTCACAGTGACTGAGCAGAAGCCTGTGGAATGCTTTCTAGAATGGGTGAAGACACAAAGCAAAGCAAATTAATTTTTTCTGTTTGGTGTATGTACGGAACAAAAAATGTTATGCTGGTAAATGCAAAACATTACTTTCACCAAAGGTTTGGGCATCACTTAATTCAACATGGCCTTATGACCTAGAACTAGACAGAACTTTACAAAGCGTATGGCTAATACTGAAACAAAAACATTGCCCTCTGTCAGCGAAGACTCATCCTGACAGACAACCTTTTTAATCAATATTACTAAAATTCCCAGCCAGAAGTCAATATCCTTTACTATATGCAGGAATTAGAGAAAAAAGCTTCACAGAATAACAGAATAAGTAGAGTTGGAAGAGACCCTCAAGGATCATTGCAATTTCTGGCCCTGCACAGGCCATCCCCAAGAGTCACACCCTGTGCCTGAGAGCATTGTCCTAACATTGCTGGAACTCTGTCAGGCTTGGTGCTGTGATCACTTCCGTGGAGAGCCTGTTCTAGTGCCCAACCACCCGTGGGGTGAAGAACCATTTCCCAATATCCAGTTTAAACCTCCCCTGATTCAGCTTCAGGCCATTCTCCCAGGTCCTGTCGCTGGGCACCAGAGACACAAGATCAGTGTCTGCCCCTCCTCTTCACCTCAGAAGGAAGTCTTACCAGTTTCTTCCTTCAGACATGTTCAGGCGAAGCAAGTAATAGGCACATCTCTGCAAAACCCTTCTATTCTCTTCTTTTCAGGAAGAGGATTTTCCCTTACATTCCACAAAGTTCCAGGTGACCCCAAGGGGGACACAGCTGTAAAGGCTGATTGTGCACTTTACCGTAAGTAACTCTTCTTAGCATGTTAAAGGCCAATTCAGAGAACTACTTTGGTAGCAAGTGAAGAATATCAAAAATCACTTATGAATAGAGAACCTCTACATTGTTTATTAACTAGGATCACAGTATGCAACTCAGCAGCAAAACCCAGACTTCTTGCATCTATTTGCATTCATATATTTGGTAATAATATTAGGTCTGTAAAAATGTATATACTTCACCTGTCTTTTAATGGCACTGACATCAGCACATAGGACAATTCTAGCCAAGACCCATGTCCTGCATCTGAACTACATCAAGCACCACATTTAAGATTCATATAATGAGATAATGTAAAAGCAGGAATAATGTGTTTACTCCCTGAATGGCAACTGAATAGAAAAAAGAAAGCATACATTAAACCTACATAGTGTTTCTGTGACATGGCCACCTTAATTTCATAGATGCAATATTTCCTTTAGGAATAGCTGAAGTAATACAATTCCTGGTAAAGTGTGATGAGCTGTGATGATTTCATACCAAAATGATGTGAATTATTTCAGATGAAATTAGGGGAACAAAGAGAAGGCTTGAGACTGCTTGATAAAGTCTGTATTGCATTGTAGGAAGTAGGGATAAATTAAAAGAGCAGAGGTTCAGCCACATGATTCAGAATTTTATTCAGGTCAACACTAAAATGTCCAATTTGTATTTTTAATGGCAATCAGAAGAAAGAAAATTACCCACAGATTTCCAACTCCTAGATAGATGTATTTATTGTCTGTTTACTACCCAGAATTCTCAGCTAGCTAGGTCTCAAACCCAGGCAGCAGCTTTCAGTTACTGCTAACTGGTAGCCATACAAAAAAATGAGAGAACAGAATTTCTTACACAGAAAGAATTGTTATTTACATGGTGCCCAGAGCATGCTACAGGCTCCAAAGGGAAAGTTAAATAATGAACATATGATGTAAAGCAATAATACTTCTCTTACTGTAATAAAAATGAATGTGTTTGCTTCCCTAGGTACAGGGCTGGTCTCCACATTCATTTTGCTACTGAAGTAAGCCATGTGTTTTTAAATTGCAATGCTGGAGAGGTTTGTTTTGTTTTATTTTCTTTCCGCATTAAACCTCTCAATTCCTCAGCCACAGAGCAGGAAGAGATTACTGAGTTCAGCACAGTTCTTGAAGTCAGAAAGTGTTACTTCTCCAATAGGAGGGCTTTTGTTCAGATGACAAGGCTGTTTAGACAGTGTAGATCTGTAAGCTGTAAGGAACAATTAATGCCAGAGAAATTAGCTTGTTCTTTGTGCTCATCAGTGTATGAAAAAAGAAAAGCTGCATAGTATTAATAGAAGAATTATTTAAGAGGTAAGACACATCCATAGCCAAGCTTCTGCAGTTCCCTGTTATTTCAGACAGGGCCAATGATTGTGCCAACAAACTCCAAACTGTAGCTGGGCATGACCAAAAGACATTCTTTGAATGCTCTTCTCTTGAAATCAAATGCAAGTGCACACCTGGGTGCTTGCAGGCTCTCAATCTGTAGCATATGTGTGCACACTGCAGGACAGTCCAAGCATTTAAATGGAGCTCAGTTGAGAAAAGTACCCAGATTACTTGCATGTATAGAGAAATGTTCACCATTTAGTTTAATCACATGTTGGACATCCATTTGAAAACAAAGAAACAAGACAACTCCATTTTTCTGAGAGAGGAAACTTATGTTACAACAATTGACTTCTACTTATGTTCTTTTTGACTTCACATTCTTCATGCCATTTTGTTTTATTATTTACCTCCATACCAATGCAAAAGCATTTATTATTATAATTTCATTTATTACATGTGATAATTGCCACAACACATTTTAATGTTTGTACCCTAGTAATGCATAAGACTTCCAGTTAGTAGTCATCTTCTGTGTAAGCACCAAATATAAAGACAGTTATTGCAGCATATAAGAATTTTTCACAAACCTGAAGCAAACACATCTATGTTTGCAGACTGTGAACTTTTATAAAAAATTAAATCACTTTAGCTCCATACCCAGCCTCATATATTTCACTAAATCATTTTAGAAATCTATTTATAAGATCCCACTTACATGACTGAAGTCTTAATTTCAGCCTGGAGAGGCTAATGGGAATATTCCTGCTAATGAGGAAAAAAATCTGACCAAAAAATCCCAACCTTGAGATAAGAATGTGTCATTCTAGTTCCTAATGCTTAACTCCTAATTCTCAAAGGGAAGCTGAAAATGAACACTTAAAGATCCTAACTGCTGTGTTTACTGCACAGGACATCTACATGAGGTATAATTGGAGTTCTTGCCTTTGTAAGTCAGATAATGAATATTCCATTAAACAGGGCTCCAATTACGCTTGCAAGGAAACTGAATTGGAAATCTGTGCTATTTTTAAAGACAATGCCGTTTACAATAAAATTCCAGCTCAACTGGCTTAGTTTCCAGGCTGTTGAGACATGTCCAGTCTTGTCAGAAACATCATAGGGGCACGAGCTTTCTACCACCCAGTATAAGATATCCTTCTCAAGAACAGCCCTCTTACATTTTAAGCTGTCCAAATTCGAAATGTAAAACCATCTCAAAATACAGTAGGAGAGGAATGATGTTTGAAAATGCTCTACCCGATTTTCAGCACAATACTGTGAGACAGATTAGGAGATGCACTTGCCTGAAGCACAACATCTTCCACTGCTGAAGTCTGGGATTTCTAGCTACAAGTCTGAGTCACCATTGAAGTGACACAAGGAGGGACAAAGACCTGGAGGGACAAGAAGTAAGGGCAAATGAAAAGGTAGCACAAAATTACAAACACTCATAAGCACAGACCCAGAAGAAAATACATGACAGGCAGGGTATTTTGAAAGAGATTGAAATACTATCTCTGGTATACTCCTCTTCATAAGATTGTTTTATCTACAGCAATTTTAGCTTGTAATTCTGTCCTCCCAAGCATGCTGACACTTCTTTTAAAGTATGAAAACTGTTTCTTCACTGGTATGCATGCAAGTCCACAGCTACTACAAAATTCAGGAGACAATAAAATAATATTAATAATTGTAAAGCAGATATTCTCATTATCCCGCTAAAGACACAAAAATTACAGCTTTGGTAAACTTTTTATTCATGAGGAAGTCAGAAGATTCACTTTTATGTTTAATGGCCCCCAGACGGTTCAGTACTTAGTAAACAACAATTGTTCAGTTTCCCTTAAATATCCCTGAAGTGAAAGAAAACAAATGCAGGTGGGAAATCTACATAAACAGCTGTGGGCAAGGCAAGGGAAGGGGGAGGGGAAAAAAAATATCAAAGACTGTAAAGCTAATATAATGGTTACATTCCTACCACCTCCCTTCATTTCCTATGGCAAATCAAAATATTTCTCCTCATTGTATTTGTGCCTTTTTGCAGCATAGGGATGACCAATAAACATCATCCTGATAACAACAGAGTACTGAGAAAAAGAGAAAGGCAGAGAGAAACCATTCGGTGCTTTAGAAGTGGAGAGAAGAAAGTCTGTAAGGGGACAAAGGGTGGGATTCCAGTGAAAAATACAAAAACACACCAAGAAAAAAAAAAACAAAAAACCACAAGAGTCAGGGAAAGCTTCATAAGCATTTATAGCAAATCACAAAGCTGCTTCTAAGACTGAGGAGACATTCTTCCTTTTTAATGCTTCATTTTACATTGCTGTCCGAATATCATGGTTTCTGAAAGTGTATGCCACTTAAGCTTAAATAGCTAAATAGGAGCATCTCTACCTTATGAAAGAATAAAAATGTGTCTTCATTTATTTTGTAAGTGTTTAATGACAGACTGTACTTACATTTCCTTTATGGAGTGGTACACAAAAACCATGACTGTGAATTATGTTAAAAATGTTTGCATTAAATTTCCTTCAATTTCATCTCTTCTAGACCAAAGGAGGATTGTTGAGTTGTGCTTTGAGACCTTATCCTTCTGTTGAGACAATTAAAAAGAAAAAAAGTAATTACAGTGTCAGAAATATCTACAACCACTCCTGAAATTGAGCTAGAACTCCCCGTGGATAATTTGTATCTTCAATCCACAGGCCACTTAGGATCATCTTTACCATTCTTTATAGCATTGAAATATATAGATGGTGTGTTGTAACTATGTACAATACAAAAGAACAAAACTCGTCACCTGATTTTCCTGGCTAATGACTACAGGGTAAATTCATGGAAATAATACAAAAAGTCAAATTGAGACTAGGTAAGTTTTACCTAGAGGAAGCATATATTTAAACCTCCTCAAGCACAGAATTCAGCCCCGCTGCAGGATTCATGTCTGGTCTCAGTAAACACATTACAGTGTACCTATTTTAGCTCTTTTAAAAATTTTTGTGCATGCCTCATCACTGTGGTTTTAACACTATAGAGATATCCAGCTCTTACCGAGCAAGCAAATATTGTTTGCACCAAGAAAAGACCTCAGAAAAGTATTCTTTTTACTGTTTTCTCCATCTTATACTGTAAGCTCAGAAAAGAATGGTTTGGTGTCGGTCTGGAGGTTTTGTAAGTCTCTTTTGAACACTTTTGGTTGATCCAATATCAAAATTCTCAGTAGAAGTAATCCTTTCATGCTAAAATCCATCCCGTATTGCTGCAAGCTTTGTGCCCAACAGAAGACACATTCAGGCAGCGTTACCACTGGGACTACTGAAAATTACTTTGCAAGGTAATTGTGGTGCCCACAAGGACGGGCTTGGTTACGATTTTGCTTGCAGCGTTTAAAGGAAATGCAGAAGTATGGTTTGCAAGATCGGAGGCGCTCTGCAGGAGTGGAAAGCGAGCAGCGCAGGCGGCGCACGCCCTGCGGCAGTGACCGGCAGTAACCCGGCTCTCAGCCACCCTCGGCGAGCAGCGAAAACACTCGCTCCCCTTGCCAGCTTTTGGGATGAGCAAGCTCCAGAGTATCCACACTGCGAGTCGTGCGAACACATAACCTCTCGGCTGCAAAATAGGTGGTGATCGCGGGAGCCGAGCTGACGAATGTAACACGCACCGGCTTCTGCTGCACGGGGGAGTCCGCGCTCCTACTGAAGGGACACTGCCACCCGCGTGGCTTCCCGGGGGAAAGGCTGCGGGCCTGGGGGCGCTGG